GTAGATTCACTCGATTTTGCTCGTCGTTTCGATGAAAGTACCAGGAGGCCAGCCGCGACACTCTCTCTCTCTCTCTCTCTCTCTCTCTCTCTCTCTCTCTCTCTCTCTCTCTCTCTCTCTCTCTCTCTCAAATAATGGCTCCACTGCATGCTTGCCATTCTTCGTTCTGCTTCTGCTTCCTGATTGGACGCAGGAGTGCCAGGCAAAGGCCACGGACGAAAAAAAGTTAAAAAAAAACACTCGGCAGCGTCGGAGACTCAACGGCGTGGGAGACTCAGAAGTGAGGCAAGTTATAAATTGTTCTTTTTCTTTTCCCATCCGAAAACAGCACCGACACTTGGAAAGTCGGCCATAGTGATTGGGGGGCCCCTGCCCTGCAAGCCATGCAAAGACACTTCTGGAGCTCCTTTTGTCTATCTACCCCTTTCTTGTACATGCTTACTTTTCCACATCACCCCAGTGCCCTCCCTTCCACATACCCTTTTTCTTTTTTGCCCCTCCCTCCCACGTACCCTTTCTCTTTTTTTTGCCTCCTTCCCATGTACCATTCCTCCTGCTCTCCCTTCACACCATCACATTCCCTCTCCGACAGCAAATGCAATGTAACAGAGCCCAAAACACATGGTTGTGTGCCCAGCTCACTTTGTCCGATATTCTTTCGCTTTTTGAAGTTTCCAATTTTGCATGAAGGAAAAAAAAAAATGCATGGCAAACACGCGACTCTTATCAGATGCGGAAGAAATGGGTGATTGTCATGCCACGCCCAGCTACCCTGCGTGCACCCCTCGCCAGTTGACCCATTGCTGCAGATATGCTCGGGCCCCCAGCGGCCAGCACGCCCAGGGAGGGCCCACAAAATTTTGAGTCCCCTGGGGTTTGGCAATTTTCCGCTTTCATTTCCTTTTCTTTTTTTCTTTTTTTTTTAACTGAGCTATATTCTTCACTCGATCATACCTCACACTACCTACCTACATGTCTAAGCACCATGAGGAGAGCGAACCGAAAATCTACCAGGTATAGAGACAGCCGCTAAGAAGAGGCCTCCTGTAGAGCCATGAGTTGTGTGTCCGAGTCCTGTGCTCGCCATGCATGTGCTTTCACGCAGTAATCGCCGTAGAGGTGATACTACAGTAGAGTGGCTGTGTAGAGGATGAGTGTGGTTGGTACACCGTGTCGCGGAATCTCCGTGCAGGAGTGGGGCAAAGTGCTCATCTTGGGGCTTCACATTCACGCCAGCCCACTTCGCCTTATGGTTAGGTGTAAGCCTGCAGAGCCATGAGTTGTGAGTTCGAGTCCTGTGCTCGTCATGCATGTCTAAGCATTGTGGGAAGGGCCATCTGAAATCTACCAAACCTAGAAACTAGCCCCCAGCAAGGAATGGCAGGGACCAGGACCCCACCAAGGCCAACCAGGGGGGCCAATTCCCCCCTCCCTTGCCGACCTCTCCTCCCCTCCTCCATTTACCCCTCCCCTGCGCTCCTCCCCC